AGACCAATAACAAGGTCTGAAGTTGAGGAAGCAATTAAGAGCCTACCACACAAAAAAAGCCCAGGTCCAGATGCGTTCACAGCCGAATTCTACCAGACATACAAAGAGGAACTGGTACCATTCCCTCTGAAACTATTCCAAATAATCCAAAAAGAGGGAATCCTTCCCAAATCATTGTATGAAACCAACATCATCCTGATACCAAAACCCGGCAGAGACTGAACAGGAAAAGAAAACTTCAGGCCAATATCCATGATGAACATAGACGCAAAAATCTTCAAAAAATACTGGCAAGCTGATTGCAATAGCACATCAAAAAGCTTATCCACCATGATCAAGTAGGATTCACCCCGGGGGACGCAAGGCTGGTTCAACATATGCAAGTCTATAAACATAATTCACCACATAAACAGAACCAAAGACAAAAACCGCATGATTATCTCAATTGATGCAGAGAAGGCCTTTGACAAAATTCAACAGCGCTTTATGCTAAAAACCCTCAATAAACTAGGTATTGACAGAACATATCTCAAAATAATAAAAGCTATTTATGATAAACCAACAGCCAATATCATACTGAATGGGCAAAAACTGGAAACATTCCCTTTGAAATCTGGCACTAGACAAGGATGCCCTCTCTCACCATTCCTATTCAACATAGTACTGGAAGTTCTGGCCAGAGCAATCAGGCAAGAAAAAGAAATAAAGGGTATTCAAATAGGAAAGGTGGAAGCCAAATTGTCTCTATTTGCAGACGACATGATTGTAAATCTAGAAGACCCCATTGTCTCAGCCCAAAATCTCCTGAAACTGATAAGCAACTTCAGCAAAGTCTCAGGATACAAAATCAATGTGCAAAAATCACAAGCATTCCTATACACCAATAACAGACTGAAAGAGAGCCAAATCAAGAACGAACTGCCATTCACAATTGCTACAAAGAGAATAAAATACCTAGGAATACAACTAACAAGGAACGTAAAGGACCTCTTCAAGGAGAACTACAAACCACTGCTCAACGAAATAAGAGAGGACACAAACTGATGGAGAAACATTCCATGTTCATGGTTAGGAAGAATCAATATCGTGAAAATGGCCATACTGCCCAAAGTAATTTACAGATTCAACACTATCCCTATCAAGCTACCAATGACGTTCTTCACAGAACTGGAAAAAACCACCTTAAACTTCATATGGAACCAAAAGAGATCCCGCATAGCCAAGTCAATTGTAAGCAAAAAGAACAAAGCAGGAGGCATCACACTACCAGACTTCAAACTATACTACAAGACTACAGTAATAAAAACAGCATAGTACTGGTACCCAAACAGAAATATAGACCAATGGAATAGAACAGAGGCATCGGAGGCAACACAACATATCTACAACCATACAATCTTTGACAAACCTGACAAAAACAAGCAATGAGGAAAGGATTCCCTGTTTAATAAATGGGGTTGGGAAAACTGGCTAGCCATGTGCAGAAAGCCGAAACTGGACCCCTTCCTGACACCTTACACTAAAATTAACTCCAGATGGATTAAAGACCTAAACATTAGACCTAACACCATAAAACCCCTAGACGAAAATCTAGGCAAAACCATTCAGGACATAGGCAAAGGCAAGGACTTCATGACCAAAACACCTAAAGCATTGGCAACAGAAGCCCAAATAGACAAATGGGACCTAATCAAACTCCACAGCTTCTGCACGGCAAAAGAAACAGTCACTAGAGTGAATCAGCAACCAACAGAATGGGAAAAAATATTTGTAGTCTACCTATCTGACAAAGGGCTAATATCCAGAATTTACAAAGAACTAAAACAGATTTACAAGAAAAAAACAAAGAAGCCCATTCAAAAGTGGGCAAAGGATATGAACAGACACTTTACAAAAGAAGACATATATGAGGCCAACAAACATATGAAAAAATGCTCATCATCACTGGTCATTAGAGAAATGCAAATCAAAACTACATTGAGATACCATCTCACACCAGTTAGAATGGTGATCATTAAAAAATCTGGAGACAACGGATGCTGAAGAAGATGTGGAGAAATAGGAAAACTTTTACACTGTTGGTGGGAGTGTAAATTAGTTCAACCATTGTGGAAGACAGTGTGGTGATTCCTCAAGGACCTAGAAATAGAAATTCCATTTGACCCAGCAATCCCATTACTGGGTATATATCCAAAGGATTATAAATCATTCTACTATAAGGACGCATACAAAGGAATGTTCATTGCAGCACAGTTTACAATAGCAAAGACCTGGAACCAACCCAAATGCCCATCGATGACAGACTGGACAGGGAAAATGTGGCACATATACACCATGGAATATTATGCAGCCATCAAAAATGATGAGTTCGTGTCCTTTGTAGGGACATGGATGAACCTGGAGAACATCATTCTCAGCAAACTGACACAAGAACAGAAAATGAAATACCACATGTTCTCACTCATAGGTGGGTGTTGAACAATGAGAACACATGGACACAGGGAGGGACACTACACACTGGGGTCTGTTGGGGGGAAGTAGGGGAGGGACAGCAGGGGGTGGGGAGTTGGGGAGAGATAGCATGGGGAGAAATGCCAGATATAGGTGAAGGGGAAGAAGGCAGCAAATCACACTGCCATGTGTGTACCTATGCAACAATCTTGCATGTTCTTCACATGTACCCCAAAACCTAAAATGCAATAAGAAAGAAAAAAGCTCTATGCTAAGCACAGGAAATTAGAAAGATAAATAATGTGATTGATCCCTACTCAAGATACTTATATTTGGCCAGGTGACGTGGTTCACACCTGTAATCACAGCACTTTGGGAGGCTAAGGTGGGTGGATCACCTGAGGTCAGAAGTTGGAGACCAGCCTGACAAATATGGTAAAATCCTATCTCTAAAAAACAATAACAACAACAACAAAAGATATTTATATTTTAGTGGAAGGTACATATTTTTATACAAGCAAATATAATACAAGGCAGGATATGATTAATCCAAAGAAATATAGGAACACTAATTATGGGAGTGACAAATTATCCGTGAAGATGGTAGGGAGGTCACCCACTGACTACTCAATTCATCCCAGACACTACGTCAAGGTTCGACCGTATTAACGGCCAGTGTCTGTCCAGTCTGGTCCTCTAAACACTTGTCTGTTACAGGGATTAAGGAGGAGTGGCTGAAGCCATAGTAACTGGCTGATTGACAATTCAAGGATCCTGGCTCCTAACCTTCTTTCATTTCAAAGTAACTAATGTGTCTCTGTAAAATGCTTCCTAGTTTAAGGGCTGATCCAATAAACACACCCAGAATTACCCAAACTTTTAATTCACTGTCTCAAATACAAAGAAATGATAAATGCTTCAGGTGATAGAAATGCCATTTACCTTGATGTGATTATTATACACTGGATATCATGGCTCAGAAAAGTTAAATGATTTCTGTAGTGGCATACAGCTGGCAAGTGGTAGAATCAGGATTAAGCCCAGAATGTATGAGCAGAAATTCAATGGATGGCCGGGCATGGTGGCTCATGCCTGTAATCCCAGCATTCTGGGAGGCCGAGGTAGGCGGGTCACCTGAGGGTGAGAGTTTGAGACCAACCTGACCAACATGGAGAAACCCCATTGCTACTAAAAATACAAAAATTGGCTGGGCATGGTGGTGCATGCCTGTAATCCCAGCTACTCAGGAGGTTGAGGCAGGAGAATCGCTTGAACCTAGTAGGCAGAGGTTTTGGTGAGCCAAGACTGCACCATTGCACTCCAGCCTGGGCAACAAGAGTGAGACTTCGTCTCAAAAAAAAAAAAAACCAATAGAAGACAAAAATCCCATTTTCTGTAAATATACACTGGCTTTGAATAATCAAATCAGTAAACAGTTCAAAATAATTAACATTAGATGGATATTTTAAAATCATTTTATTTTGTAATAATATTCATACACTACAACCTGTTGAAGCAACAAAACCAAAAAACCCAGTGATCTAATTCTAGTTTCCACAGGTAACAAGAGTCTCTACTCCATTGGCAACAGTGAGGTCTTGCTATGTTGCCCAGGCAAGTCTAGAACTCCTGGGTTCAAGTAATATACTCACTTCAGCCTCCCAAAGTGCTGGGATTACAGGCATGAGCCATCACAACTGGCCAATTTTTTGAAAAGTCTGAAATTAAGTCAAAATTTTGAAAAAGTTACAGCAATTATGGCAATCTCAATTATAGGTAAATGGGTATCACATTAACTCGTTTACATTTTAAGTATTTCATTATTTCAAAATAAAAAATATCCAGTAGAGCAAATTGCTTCTGAGAGGAAACCTCAGAAGAGATGAGACAGTCAGATGGTAGAAGACTGTCTTTCAGGAAACTGAAACCAGGTGCCCTCAGGTGGCTGCAGAGGGAGAGAGAGCTTAGCACCCCCTCGCCCCTGGAGTCTAGTGGCCACATGCAGATAACCAGCTGCCCAACTCTTCAGTTCTGACCTGGCATTGTATTTATCTGTAACTGGAAGTTCTTCTCTGACAGGGTAGATTAATAAACATTAAAATACACCTAAAATTTATTTGCCTATTGTTCGTGCAGGTAATTCATTCAGCATTTGCAACACATTCATTGTACACAAAGATTGCATTAGACAGAGTAGATGAATAGAAAGATAAACAAGACCCAGCCAAATGTTGCCCAAAATCCATACATGATGGAGACAGGAAGGGCCCTGAGTGCCTGTGTGTCAGTGGTAATACTAGCCACTTTCATTTTTTTTCTGCTGCATTTCATTTTTGTACCAATTCTGGTTAGTGGGTTTCATTTATACTCATTTTACAGATACGGAAGCCTAGAGATGTTAACTTGCCCAGAATTACTCAACTACTAAATGACAAAGCCAAGAGTGTCATGTCTGAGGTATCAGGTCTGTCTGACTCGAGTTCGTGTTCTCTCCATATCATCACATTTTAGAAATCACAAAAACATGAATACAGCAAAATTTCACTTACTCAACACTCCTGGGGATGAGTTATGCTGGACAGATGAGTAAGTGAAAGGCCATCCTCCGAGAAACATTGTTCAAACCCTTCCAAGGTTAGAGCAGAGAAGACTCCAGAAGCCTCTGCACAGTCTTTTCCTCCCTGCAGTTCTTTTTTCCCTTGGGCTTCCGGGACTTGAAACCCAGCACATCTGGTCTCTTGCAGACACATCCTCCCTGAAAGCTCCAGCAGAAGATGGCCAAAGACGCTTTTGCTTTTTCTGCTTCCCCAAAGCATAAATGAGAGACTGATAATTCAGAAATTATTTTATACCTACAAAATGAGAACAAAATAGAAAATACTTAAAAGCAGTCAGGTTTTCAAAACACCGTTTCGTGATACCAGATTGGGCACCCACCCAGTCCTGTATCTTAAAACGCTACCCCTTGGTTCTAGAGGGTGTAAGGGCTATGCAGGTCTGTTTCTCCTTTGTCAGCATTTTGGTGTCTCCTGGCCAAGCAACTTTCAGTATTTATCTTGTCCATAGTCCCAGAAATGGGTCTAAAGATGATTCATTCTACTGCTATATGTAACCTCCATGAATTTTAATTTTGTCATTTGCATAAAAAGGGAATAAAAATATGTAACTCATTAAGACCAAATGGGGAAACCATGTACATATATCACACACAGTAAGCACTCATGTTAGTTGCCCAAGTTCAACAGCTGATAAGAAAGAGCTGGAACTCCATCTAGCCAGACTGGCTCCAGAATCAGTTTTTCTAATCACCTCTGTGGTGAAAGTCAACCACTAACACCTGCACTCCACTCAGTTTGCCTTTCTAGTTCATCTCTATCCCAAACCAGGGCCCACAAGCTAATACCAGAGCCAGAACATACAAAATTGAGGGAATGAAAAAAAGCCTACAAATGTATCCTTTCATATACAGAGGGTGTTGTTTATGACTAAAGATGCAGCTACTTTATAATCTTCTGTACAATTTGAATTCTTAGAGTAGGCATATAATACTTCCATAAGCATTAAAAATATATATAAATACATTTTAGGATAAAAAATTACCAAGCATAGGAACTTTGGAAAGGAAGAAGGGATTGCATATAGGAGTTTTCATTTGATGTTTAATGTCAGTTAAACTGCATTAGAACAACTTATAGTAAATAGTATTTTCCTATATCATTATGACAGTGGCTATGAACAAGGGTTAAGAGTAGACACGGTTGAATTCCAGCAACACTACCTTACTAGCTGTTTGAACTTTACCTAACTTCTCTGTGTTCTCACCTATAAATGGGAATAATAATAACTATCATATAGGGATATTGTTAGGCTTAAGGCAGCATAATTAAGGTGCTTGGTATTGTACCAGATTCATCACAAGCACTCAATATTTTTCTTTCCACAACATCACTTCTATGGCTGAAGAATATCCCATCTCATAGGGATGTGCCATGATTCATTTACCCAGTCCCACACTGTTATTGATCATCTTCAATTTTATCCAATAACATAGACAATAGCAAATTTTTTTCATACATTTCTCTTTATTTCTTTAGGGTGAAACTCTGTGAGATGCTAGATCAAAGGATATGAGCATTGTAAACTTTTGACACACAGTATCTACCAAACATAGTTTACCAAGTTAACCCTTCTCTATATTAAAGGTATTTATTTAGCTCTTATCAATGCTGCACATTATTTTAAAGATCTATGCTAATTTTAAAGGCCAAAAACCCCCCAAACAACTCATATTGTTATGCACACATTTATTAAACATCTCAGTTTCTTCTTAGGTTATAAAGCTCTTGGGCTCCTTAAAGTATAATTTGGTATAAAAACAGAAAAACAATTGGAGTATGTAAAATTTTTAATGTAGTACATTACAGAGGTGGCATTTCAAATCATTTATGAAAGGATGAATTTTTCCACTGGTTTTCTTTTTTTTTGAGATGGAGTCTCATTCTGTTGCCCAGGCTGGAGTACAATGGCACGATCTTGGCTCACTGCAACTTCCTCCTCCTGGGTTCAAGCTATTCTGCTGCCTCGGCTTCAGAAGTAGCTGGTATTACAGGCACCCACCACCATGCCCAGCTAATTTTTGTATTTTTAGTAAAGACAGGGTTACGCCAGGTTGGTTAGGCTGGTTTCGAACTCCTCACCTCAGGTGATCCGCCCACCTCAGCATCCCAAAGAGCTAGAATTACAGGCATAAGCCACAGTGCTGCCCTTTCCAATGGTTTTCAAAGAGCTCCCTGCAGCCTCCCATAAGGGGAAGTATGGGAATGGGGGTAGGGAGTGCTGGCTGGTTGGGATAACTCTCATTCGTCCCCATTTCAACTACATTAATCTGTTTTACATACTAAATTTACTGGTAAGCTTTGAGCTGAAGGGTTCCATACCTGAAAACAAAAACAAAAACACATTTAATGCAAGGTTTGGGAATAATTGGCATTTTTCAGTCAACAGATACACAAAATGAGCTGAATCTCTTTGACATCATATGCGAAAATACATTTCAAATGGCTTAAAACATTAAATGGAAAAAAAGCCTACATAAGTGACAACATAAGGAAGCATTAACTGATCTTGGGGATAAAGAGGACCTTTTCCAACACACTGATAAAAGCAAAATCCATAACAAGAGGCACTATTGTCTGTATCGATTTTTCCTAAAGTGTGTACCTCTGATACAGGTTCAAAATGGTTTCATAGCCACAGAAGTATGGAAACGCATTTCAACAATAGTGCAGAGAGGGCTGGGCATGGTGGCTCACGCCTGTAATCCTAGCACTTAGGGAGGCTGAGGCAGGCAGATCACTTGACATCAAGTATGTTTGAGACCACCCTGGCCAACGTGGCAAAACTCCTCTCTACAGCTCGGTGTGGTGGCAGGTGTCTGTAATTCCAGCTACTTGGAAGGCTGAGGTAGGAGAATTGCTTGAACCTGGGAGGCGGAGGTTGCAGTGAGCCAAGATCGCACTGCTGCACTCCAGCATGGGTGAAAAGAGCGAGACTCCATCTCAAAATAAATAAATGAATAAATAAAAATAATAACAGTGCAGAGAGGGGGCTTAGGGCATTAACATCCAACTACTTCCTTCTTTTCTTTTTGAAACAGAGTTTTGCTCTTGTTGCCCAGTCTGGAGTGCAATGGTGCAATCTCGGCTCACTTCAACCTCTGCCTCCCAGGTTCAAGCAATTCTCCTACTTCAGCCTCTTGAGCAGCTGGGATTATAGGTATATGCCACCATGCCCGGCTAATTTTTTTGTACGTTTAGTAGAGACAGGGTTTCACCATGTTAGTCAGGCTGGTCTCGAACTCTTGACCTCAGGTGATTCACCCACCTCAGCCTCCCAAAGTGCTGGGATTACAGGCGTGAGCCACCACGACTGGCCAACATCCAATCATTTCTATCAGCATTCCCAGATCACCACAAAATACACACTTGATATCAAACAATGTGTAAGAGGACATTTTCTAGTGTTGTGTACCCCAAACAGACTCCTGACATTAAACCCTTCTTTTCCCTAGACATTCTAGAGCCATCACTGATGCTCTCTGGAGAGTCACAATGTCCTTAGCATAAAAAGGCTCTGAGAAGACCTACAATGGAAAAAGAATAAAACTAATTTAGTCTGCATTTGACTACAGAACCCTTCCCTCGACATGATGCCTATTAATATCCATAGAATTCATGGCGCATAACCTACCAAATGCCAGGCCATGTGGAAATTAACGTTTAAACAGAAAAATGCTGTACCAGAGGTGTCCTTGTAAAGGATGTAGTCCATTTCGTGTGATTTTACTGATACTCAATTTGAGGCTCACTTTGATGTAATCTGCTGACACCTACTGCTGATGCTTTAATTTAGTATATATACATATTTTCCTACAGTAAACTGCTGCCCACCTACATAAAAATCCTTGCTTGCAGATTGCCTTAGACTTAAATTCTTATACATCACCACAAAGCACTTATATCTTAAAATAATATAAAAGGATTTATTAAAATGATCCAAAGGGTTTAAAAAGAAGTATGCAGCCAGGAGCGGTGACTCATGACTGCAATCCCAGTACTTTTGGAGGCTCAGGCAGATGGATCACCTGAGATCGGGAGTTCAAGACCAGCCTGACCAACATGGAGAAACTCTGTCTCTACTAAAAATACAAAATTAGTGGGGCGTGGTGGTGCATGCCTGTAATCCCAGCTACTTGGGAGGCTGAGGCAGGAGAATCACTTGAACCCAGGAGGCAGAGGTTGCAGTAAGCTGAGATCTCACCATTGCACTCCAGCCTGGACAACAAGAGTGAAAAACTCTGTCTCAAAAAACAAAAAAAAAGAAGTAGGCAGGCTTGTGCTTTTGCTCTTACCTATTAAAATGTCTTCTGCAACTACAGATGTAGAAAGTATGTCATGTACTTCTTATTCTGATTTTTATGTCATACAAAAGTAACTGAATTAGACTGTTTAGGAGACAGAGTTAAATGGATCAGAGAGAGGGATCAGGCACTTCTACAAAAACTCAAGATTGTTACTAGAATGAAGATATAACAAGAATTTCACTTAAGTAAATTCTTAAACTTTATATTCTTCCACCCTAAAAGCATCCTTCAGGTTCTAAATGAAGGGAAAATGAAGAGGGGTAAGAGGCAAAGGTAATACAACTGCAATGATAAGCATTCTCCTGCTTGAAGAATATCGGTTGTTTGGTTTCGCCATTTAAAATTAATAGTAACTTGGCCAGGCGTGGTGGCTCACACCTGTAATCCTGGCACTTTGGTAGCCTGAGGCGGGTGGATCACCTGAGGTCGGTGGATGACCTGAGGTTTGGAGTTCAAGAGCAGCCTCGCCGATGTGGTGAAACCCTGTTACCAAAAAAAAAAAAAAAAAAAAAAAAAAATAGCCTCCTAGCACTTTCAGAGGCCAATGGGGGTGGATCACAAGATCAGGAGTTTGAGACCAGCCTTGCCAAGATGGTGAAACCCTGTCTCTACTAAAAATACAAAATTTAGCCAGGCACGGTGGCGGGCGCCTGTAATCCCAGCTACTCAGGAGGCTAAGACAGAAGAATTGCTTGAACCCACGAGGCGGAGGTTGCAGCGAGCTGAGATTGCACCACTGCACTCTAGCCTGGGCAACAGAGCAAGATGCTATCTCAAAATAAATAAAATAAAATAAATAGTAACTTGAATTGTAAAGTGTTAGGTTTATGAGCATTAAGATTCAACTTCTAATCTATTTCTATGTTAAATGTGTCTCTGTATGTTTATTTCTATTTTAAAGACAGCTTCTCTCCCTGTCACCCAGGCTGGAGCACAGTGGTACTATCATAGCTCACTGCAAGCCTAACTCTTAGGTTTAATCAGTCCTCCCGTCTCAACCTCCCGAGTAGCTAGTACTACAAGCACACGCCAGTACAGCTGGCTAATTAAAAAATTTTTTTAATTTATTACTTGTAGAGATGGGGTTGACCAACCTGGTCTTGAACTCCTGGCATCAAGCAATTCTCCTAAGTGTCCCAAAGTGCTGGGATTAGAGGCATGAGTCACTGCTCCCAGACCCTCTGTATGTTTAATAATGTCAATGCAAAGACACTTGTTTGTGCAAATACATTGCATTATTAACTTCCTGGTCTTCTATTGCTAGTTTAAAATAATCAGATCTCAAATTTTAATAAAAATTCTGGTACTATAAAACCCTAAAAGGCCAGTTTTATTTGAATATCACTCAATAAATCTTTACCAGAGTCTTACTCACTTTAGGATACCATTAGCATTTGTTGAATATTTCAAATTTGAATTATATAGTATCTAATTTAATTATTGCTGGGAAACAACAAAAAAAATCCTCATTATTTACTACTTTGTTTCCAGTGACTAAGTTGTTGCAAATATATGTATGTACGTGTGTGTTATGTGCAATTTCTATTTTTAATAGGAACGTGGCACTGACAGTTACAACACTGAGTTTGCCATGGGCTACTGTGTGATATGTGATGACTCAACTCTCCCACCTCTTTCCTCAAAATGATTGTGAAACCTTACACGTTTTATCACAATGTTCTTTGGCTTTCAGCTGATAAAAACAAAATCCTAAATTTAGTGTGCAAAATCCTAAACTCGGTGTGAATTCAGGTACTCAAAACTTCATGTTTTAAGGTGTTCATCTGAAAAATCACAAATAATATGACTTTGCTTTAGCATCAAAATGACAACACAAAATTTTTTAAACTGTAAAGAATTGGTGGATTCTCCAGGAACTTATGCTTGAATATCAGGCTGAAACACACTGCCATAGATGATAGCCAGTAATTCATTCAACAATATTTATTGAGGCTATATATGCCTGGCACAGGGAATCAAACAATCAACAAACTGCGTGCCCTTATGAAAAGCCTTACTTAAGAACCTAGTGGGGAAGGAGAACAACAGATAAGTAATTATATAATTCCTGATGACTAGAGGTATAAAGAAAATGAGTGAGGGCCGTGGCTGTGCGTGATGGCTCACACCTGTAATGCCAGCACTTTGGGAGGCTGGATCACCTGAGGTCAGGAATTTGAGACCAGCCTGACCAATATACTGAAACCTGTCTCTATGAAAAATACAAAAATTATTGTTTCCTATGATCCATGTTAGAGGAAAAAAAAGAAAAATACAAAAATTAGCTGGGCATGGTGATAGGCTCCTGTAATCCTAGCTACTCAGGAGGTTGAGACAGAAGAACTGCTTGAACCTAGGAGGAGGTTGAAGTGAGCTGAAATCACGCCGCTGCACTCCACCCTGGGTGACAGAGTGAGACTGTCTCAAAAAATAAACTAAAATAAAATGAGTGGGATAGGGGAACAGAGAAAAAGGTTGGCAGTGTTGTTTTAGAGAGGTTGGTTAGGAAAAGCATCTCATTGGAACTGAGATTTGAGCTGACAACTACATAAATTCTACCTGGGAGGAATTTTCCAGGCAGAAGAGCAAGTGCCAAGGTCCTGAGACAGGAATGTACTTAGAACGTCTGAGAAGCGACAAGGAGGCCAGTGTGGCTGAAGCACACAAGCCACGCAAAAAATGTCAGAGAAGCCAGGGGCCAGGTTACAAGGGGTACTACATGTTGTAGTGATGACTTTGTCGGTCCTTAGGAAAGAAAAAGGATTGCAGGAGGCATGCTTCAGACAGACTGAGGGTGGAACTTCTAGCTCTGGAACTCAATTTTTTTCTTTAACTTTTAAAAATCAACTTTACTGGGCTGGGCGGGGTGGCTCACACCTGTAATCCTAGCACTCTGGGAGGCCAAGGAGAACAGATCACCTGAGGTCAGGAGTTCAAGACCGGTCTGGCCAACATGGTGAAACCCCGTCTCTACTAAAAATACAAAAATTAGCTGGGTGTAGTGGTGTGCACCTGTAATCCCAGCTACTAGGGAGGCTGAGGCAGAATTGCTTGAACTCAGGAGGCAGAGATTGCAGTGAGCTGAGATCATACCACTGCATTCCAGCCTGGGCAACAGAGTGAGACGCCATCTCAAAAAACAAAACAAAACAAAACAAAAAAACAACAAAAATCAACTTTCCTGAAGTATAATTTACACATAATAAAATGCATCCCTTTTAAGAGTATAGTCTGATGAGCTTTGACAAATGTATAAATCCATATCACCACCACAATAATCGAGATAAAGACTATTTCCAACATCCCAAAAAGTTTCCTCGTTCCCCTTTGCAGTCAGTCCCCATCCTCTGACCCATACCAGAGCAAGGGACTCAACTAGGGTTTGGGGACTAATCCTCAGTTACACTAGCCACATTTTAAGAGCCTAACAACCACATGTGGCTAGTGGCTGTCATACTGAACAGCACAGACATAGAACACTTCCATCACTGTAGAGGGTTCTATTCCATAGTTCCAAGATGGTAAAATTTGACCTTTATCACATGGAGTAGGCCCAGCAATCTGAAAGCTGAGTAAGCCATACAAGTGACATTACCTAGCTTTATGTTATTACTTGTGTTTATTACCTTTAACATCCAGTAATTCATAAAGTCCTGAGAAGGAACAGTTTTGTTCCATGCCTGAATCAAGGTGCTAAAGAGGGAGGAGATTCCAGTGGGACAGCATAATGACGGCAATGATCATTCTCGAGATGTTCACTACAAGGAAATTCTTTCTCCATTACTAAGTTCAATGGATTGCCTAATTTATTCAGGGAAATGGTGATTTCCGTTAAAACTCACAAGGCACAATTTTGTTATATACATCTTTAAGCCTTAAAATCTGAGTCTCATCATATGTATAATGTGTTTTTTTTTTTTTTTTTTGAGATGCAGTCTCAGTCATCCAGGTTGGAGTACAGTGGTGCGATCTCAGCTCACTGCAACCTCCACCTCTTGGGTTCAAGCGATTCTCCTGCCTCAGCCTCCTGAGTAGCTGAGATTACAGCCATGCACCACCACGCCTGGCCAATTTTTGTTTTTTTTAGTAGAGATGGGTTTCACCATGTTGGTCAGGCTGGTCTCGAACTCTTGACCCGGTGATCCACCTGCCTCAGCCTCCCAAATGCTGGGATTACAGGCATGAGCTGCCACACCCAGCCTATAATGTGTTTTTTTAAGAGGGGGGATTATGAAGCAAATATGCTAAAAAATTAACATTTGTTAAATCTAGTAGTGAGTGCATGAGTGTTTTTTTAATATTATTTTTATGTATACCTTTGAATGTTTCAAATATTTTAAGAGAAAAAGGTAGGCTTTCACTTAAAATGTTAAAACAAGATGCCAGTGTGGTGGTACATGCTGGAAGTCTCAGCTACTCAGGAGGTTGAGGTAGGAGATAGCTTGAGCCCAGGAGTGCAAGTCCAGCCTAGGCAACATAAGAAGATCTTGGTCTCTTAAAAAAAAAATGAAACATAAAATTAAAAAAATTAAATGTTAAGAGATGTTTAATATCAAGATGTAATTACACAATACAGGTGAAAAACAATATGCACAGAAGAGTCAGTATAGCAGAGTGGTTCTGGCACCAGATTGCTTTGGTTTTATTTTCCTTTTTATCTTTATCTTTTTTTTTTTTTGAGGCAGAGTCTCACTCTGTCGCCCAGACTGGAGGGCAGTGGCGTGATCTTGGCTCATTGCAACCTCCATCTACCACATTCAAGCAATTCTCCTGCCTCAGCCTCCCAAGTAGCTGGGACCACAGGCACACACCATAGCCAGCTGAGTTTTGTACTTTTAGTAGAGACAGGGTTTCACCATGTTGGCCAGGCTGGTATCGAACTGCTGGCCTTAAGTGATCAACCTGTCTTGGCCTCCCAGGCATGAGCCCAACCCTACTTTGGTTTTAATCCTAATTATGCCACTCACTAGCAATGAGACAGAACAAGTTACTTATCTTTCTGTGCCTCAAGTTCTTCATCTGAACAATAAGAATGCTAATAACAGTACCTGCTTCATAAGGATATTATAAGGATTAAATAAATATTACATGTAAAGACCCTGGTGTACAATAGATGCTAAAAAGGTGTTAACAGCTATTATTAATTTTGGTTTCTTAGTGCCCTACAAGTTTGGTAAGCAGTGATTCTCAAAGTGTGATCTTGTAAGGACTGGCAGTATCTGTAACCAGAGAACTTGCTAGAAATGTAATTCTCAGGCTCCACCTCAGACACACTCAATCTAGGATGGAGCCGAGCAATCTGTGTTTTAGTAAGCCTTCCATTTAACTGTGTACATTAAAGCTTGAGGACTACTGGGTGGAGGAACAACTTGTAGCTCTGTACTTGTTAACTTGTCTCAAGGGGTCCTGGTGTAAGACCTTAAAGAGTGAAGTACTGGCCACTGCTCAAAGACGTTCACATTAAAAAACAGAAGTTAAACTGCTGTTGACCCAACAAAACTACATCAAGCCAAGTTTGGCCACCAGCCACCAGTTTGCACTCATTTCTTGGCTAATTCTCTCTCTCAAATCAGTAAGCAGCTGTGATGTAGTGGAAAGAGTGAGTGGTGAACAAGGAAAACCTTGATTTGAAGCCCAGCTCTATTTCCTAGCTGGTGGTAATAAAAACGATGTTAATCTTTTAGAGTTAAATCTTATCCATATGATAAGGACAATAGTATCTCACAGGAGTGTTTTTTTTTTCCTTTTTTTTTTTTTTTGAGACACACTCTGTGGCCCAGGCTGGAGTGCAATGGCGCGATCTTGGCTCACTGCAACCTCCACCTCCTGGGTCCAAGCAACTCTCCTGCCTCAGCCTCCTGAGTACGCGCATGCCACCGCACCCGGCTAATTTTTTGTATTTTTAGTAGAGACGGGGTTTCACCGTGTTAGCCAGGATGGTCTTGATCTCCTGACCTCGTGATCCAACTGCCTTAGCCTCCAAAAGTGCTGGGATTACAGGTGTGAGCCACCGCACCTGGATGAGGAGGTTTTAAAGATTAGGATGATATACTCAAAACACTGCCCTATAATAAATCCTCAATTAAATTTTCATAGCATTTGTGATATTTGTTTCCTGCATTATTTTGAATAATTACATGCTTTATTCAACTTACATTTATGAATAATTTAGTTTAGCCTCTCTCTTCTATTAAACTCTAAGCTCCTCTGAGACAGAGATAAAATTTTGCATCCCTTTAAATTTTTATAATACCTACTTCAATAATTAGTCCCTCCCAAATCTATCTTGAGCTTCAATAGAAGCTTGTGATTGGAAATCTGAGTGTATGTGGTATGGGTCTGGAAGAACATAGTTAATTCTTAGGAAAGACATATAGTTTATAAAAGCAGATATATGGCTGACTTATAAGAATCCCCAAAGTTATGATTCCCTAACTTATATATATGTAAAATATAAAAGATCAAGAACAATGATGGTTGTTCTGTTAGTAAAGGTGGATGACTTCTGCATTTACATTTACCATGTTCATTAAAAGCAATACAGGGAATTTACAAGTGCCATACTAGAAACTATGAAAAAGATGAATTTCAATTTTAACTGAATGTTGGCAATTTAGATACTAGTGATGTTGGTGTGATGGTGGTAGAAGAGATGTGTATCAGCACAGCTAATGTCAGGGGCCCAGCTTATTCTTTTCATCTGGAATATTAAAAACAAGAACTATTATCTACCCCACAAAAATCCTGTGAAAGTTAATTAGGCAATTAAGTTAATCTTCATTAGGCATGGAATGAAGATTCCATTAGATCATGGAATTTGCGGGGAGAAGAGGAAGGAAGCCTGTGTATCTTACATAAGTAGGTGAGAGAGTTTCTACACTCCTATGGTCTCATAAGAAACAGTATGTCATATTTTTGACCTAACAATTTTTTTTCTTTGTAGGTACTCAGCCATCTAAGTACTAGTAATAAAGAATTAATTCAAATATAAAACTTGGCATGATTAATTTCATTGCCCCTTTATGTTAGCTTTCTTACTTTCTGAACTTTAAGTGCATCTACAAACATATTAAATAACTGACTTTCAGGTTAAATGACCTAGACAAGCCGCTTCTCATTTATTCAGTGAGATGGGAAGTGATTATTTTGTCAAGGTACGATTCAGAATGGCATATTCAAATACAATTTAAAAAATCTACATCACTATTTACATGTATCATCAATAAGAAAAATTTGGCTTGGTAATATTAAGATATAAAAGTACATGACAGTGTTAGAATTGCAGACTGTTGTCATTTCATGTGCTACAGAGCTTTAATAATTCAATTCTTTGGATTCTGTATGAGAAAAAGTTTCACTGCAGGTGTAACTTTTTAGTCACAGCATAAAATAATCTCCACTTAAGATACCCAATTTTTCTACGTATAAGCATTCAATTAATAAAAAAATCAGTGGCAAAACCAAACTGTGTAGTTACCAACAAACTTGTCAGAATAAACAACTTTTCCTGCATGAATTCTTTGAGAAAAACTTTACTGAAAAATATCCCCTCCAAGATAGGAAAAATCACCTTTCTTGTAATTACAGTCCATTACGAAGGTAAAATTGACAAGAAAATGACGTTTGAAGGATTTCTCTTTCAAACACTTAATTTCTTTTTTCTTTTCTTTTTTTTTTTTTTTTTTTTTTTTTTTTTTTTTTTTTGAGAGGGAGTTTCACTCTTGTTACCCAGGCTGGAGTGCAATGGCGCGATCCCGGCTCACTGCAACCTCCGCCTCCTGGGTTCAGGCAATTCTCCTGCCTCAGCCTCCTGAGTAGCTGGGATTACAGGCACGCGCCACCATGCCCAGCTAATTTTTTGTATTTTTAGTAGAGACGGGGTTTCACCATGTTGACCACGATGGTCTCGATCTCTTGACGTCGTGATCCACCCGCCTCGGCCTCCCAAAGTGCTGGGATTACAGGCTTGAGCCACCGCGCCCGGCACACTTAATTTCTTTTCAAAAAAAATTGTAAACAATTATTAGGTGCAAATCAAAGCTAATATCCTTTATTAGCCTCTACTTTTTAAAATGCATTTCAAAGCATCAAATTCTATATAAACACACACACACAAAACCTAATCGGATGGTTTCCTGGGCAGCTACAGAAGACTCAAAAATGATCTCATGGACTTCACTAATGTTTCTACTTTGTGCCAAATGTTTCAGAAATTTTGAGGTAGTCCACTTACCTAATGTGATACTAAGCTTCTAGAAAGCAAGAATTTCTGGAATAAGTGAAAGGGGATGAATGTACAAAAATATTATCAGCTTTCAATTAACATACGAATATTGTTCCGTATAAAGAGGCAGTTTCCTACACGTGACAAAAGAATAAAGCTGTTGCCTCTTTAACAGTAAACATCCCTGCATTCCTAAGAGAAGATTCTAAGGCCTAGCAAAAGATCTGAGCCTAACATTTTGGGGTTTTTTGGTAGGAAGCAGGGTAAAAATCACTCTCTAGGTTTGAGATTGGGATCCAGAATACACTGATGACTTGACCTTCGGCAAGTCACTTAATTCCTTTTAGTCTCAGTTACCTTAATGGTAAATGAAGTCAACACCACCTGGTAAAGGTATTATAGGACTGATGTGAAGATGAGATGGCATTTGTGAACATATTATTAAATATATAAACTATAAAGCAATAGTAAGCAAATGCTAGTTACTATTCTACGTAATACGGGCCTAACCTTTCTTGCCTATGTCCTTATCCGTAAAAAGAGGACAGATTGAGGTCTGAATGCCTATCCAGTCCCTTATCAGCTGCGTGAACTTGGGCAAGTCATTTCCTTTCCGGGCCTGTTTCCTGAGGTTATTTTGAAGATCAACTATCTCATCTTACATAAATACTGTCCAGACTCATATTAAGAATTTAACAAATGATAGCTCATATTACTCTCTGGGGGGGGCGGGTAGGGCAGTAAAGAGCAAATGAAATTAAACCTCGTTAAGAGGCTTTGTATATCCACATAAAACTCTACAGACATTCAAGGTACCGTTATTTGTACTGTAAACTGCCAAGACATGCAGGAAACGAAAAATCAAATGGCGCCTCAGCGACTCGCACTAAAGAGGGAGAGAAGGCAGAACTTCCGAGAATCAACTATTTTTCCCCCTTACGGCCTCCAGCCTAGATTAGACCATTTATTCAACTTCCCAGCCCACAGTATCCCTGGACATTTATTTACTGTACCTTTTTCACTGAGAGCCTTTCCACTCCCCTCCCCTTCTATAGTCGTGAACTTCAGACCCTCTGCTTCGACTCCCACTGCCTTTCACTCTGTTTTTACCAAGATTTACTGAAGCCTCCCCGCCGCCTAAGGAGAAAGTGCAGCAGGACGCACCGCAGGGCATCCTAGGAAATGTGGTCTCTCAGACTCTTTGGCTTGGGCTGCAGAGTGGGTAAGACGACGAAGGAGATCCAGATAAAACTACAACTACCGGCAGGCAAGGCAAAGCACCATCTTTCTTTCGCCTCTTTTCCTGTTGCCGTCCTCTTCCTCCTCCTCTCTAGCACCGAACCACTTGGCCTCACGGTACTTGTAGTTCCACCTGAACTCAAGATCCTGGGGCTCGATGGCCAGCACAGAGGCTAGAGGACTCTAATTCCCAGAGGGCAGAGCGAAAGCTGCGCCTGCGCACATTCAACGAGGGCGTGTATGTCTGTGTGTCTGAGGGAGAGAGAGCGAGAGTGAGTGAGTGTGAGTGCGGGGTTGGGTGGTGGCCGTTACGTTCGGGGCAACGGCTACGGCAGTGGAGAAGTAAGAAGAGAAACAACGTCCGGCGCTTCCGCCTTCGCTTAGGAGGAGGAGGAGCTGGTAGGGAAAGGAAAGTGATTCGCCCTGGGCCTGGACTAGACCGAGTCGGGTCGGTGGGGGTGGGCTATGAGCTTTTGAGGGTCGCTTGGGACGCGGAGCGAGACACGAAAGCCGGTAGCTATGTCTCAGCCGCCGCCGCCGCCGCCGCCGCCGCCTCCGCTGCCGCCGCCGCCTCCTCCCCCTGAGGCTCCGCAGACTCCGTCGTCTCTGGTGTCCGCGTCGGCGGCTGCTTCGGGGGGGCTTTTGAAGCGGAGAGACCGGAGAATCCTTTCCGGGAGCTGCCCGGATCCGAAGTGCCAGGCGCGTCTGTTCTTCCCGGCCTCCGGTTCTGTCAGCATCGAGTGTACTGAGTGCGGCCAGCGGCACGAGCAGCAACAGCTGCTGGGGGTTGAGGAGGTGACCGACCCGGACGTAGTGCTACACAACCTGCTGCGGAACGCGCTGCTCGGGGTGACGGGGGCACCCAAGAAGAACACGGAACTGGTTAAGGTGATGGGCCTTTCCAACTATCACTGCAAATTGTTGTCGCCCATATTAGCTCGCTATGGAATGGACAAACAGACAGGCCGGGCCAAGCTTCTCCGGGACATGAACCAGGGCGAACTGTTCGATTGCGCTTTGCTGGGTGACCGCGCCTTCCTCATAGAACCAGAACATGTTAACACAGTGGGCTACGGGAAGGACCGCTCCGGAAGCCTCTTGTATCTGCATGACACTCTGGAAGACATTAAGCGAGCCAATAAAAGTCAGGAATGTCTCATTCCAGTGCATGTGGACGGGGATGGACACTGCCTGGTGCATGCTGTGTCTCGGGCTCTAGTAGGCCGAGAGCTTTTCTGGCATGCCTTGAGAGAGAATCTTAAACAGCACTTTCAGCAGCACCTGGCCCGATATCAAGCTCTGTTCCATGACTTCATTGATGCTGCTGAGTGGGAGGACATTATCAATGAGTGTGACCCTCTGTTTGTACCACCTGAGGGTGTTCCCTTGGGCCTGAGGAATATCCACATATTTGGGCTTGCCAATGTGCTACATCGTCCTATTATTCTGTTAGATTCCCTCAGTGGCATGAGAAGCTCTGGTGATTATTCAGCCACCTTTCTACCTGGGCTCATCCCTGCAGAGAAGTGCACTGGTAAAGATGGTCATTTGAACAAACCAATCTGTATTGCATGGAGCAGCTCCGGTAGAAACCATTATATCCCTTTGGTAGGCATAAAAGGGGCTGCTTTGCCCAAACTGCCTATGAATTTGCTTCCTAAAGCATGGGGTGTACCTCAGGACCTTATTAAAAAGTACATCAAACTTGAAGAGGATGGTGGTTGTGTTATTGGAGGTGACAGAAGTTTGCAAGATAAATACTTACTTAGGCTTGTTGCTGCTATGGAAGAAGTCTTTATGGACAAACACGGTATCCATCCTAGTTTGGTTGCTGATGTCCATCAGTATTTCTACAGAAGGACTGGAGTGATAGGAGTTCAGCCTGAAGAAGTCACAGCAGCTGCTAAAAAAGCAGTAATGGATAATCGCCTTCACAAATGTTTGCTCTGTGGTGCCCTTTCTGAACTTCATGTTCCTCCGGAGTGGTTGGCTCCTGGAGGGAAATTGTATAACCTGGCAAAAAGTACTCATGGACAGCTGAGGACTGATAAAAATTATAGCTTTCCCTTGAACAATTTGGTTTGCTCATATGATTCAGTGAAAGATGTTCTGGTACCAGACTATGGATTAAGTAACCTAACAGCTTGTAATTGGTGCCATGGCACATCTGTGCGAAGGGTCAGAGGAGATGGGTCTATTGTGTATTTGGATGGAGACAGAACTAATTCTAGGTCCACTGGTGGCAAATGTGGTTGTGGATTCAAACACTTTTGGGATGGTAAGGAGTATGACAATCTACCAGAAGCGTTCCCTATTACTTTAGAATGGGGTGGAAGAGTGGTCAGAGAAACAGTCTATTGGTTCCAGTATGAAAGTGATTCATCTTTGAATAGTAACGTTTACGATGTTGCGATGAAACTTGTTACCAAGCACTTTCCAGGTGAATTTGGGAGTGAAATCTTAGTTCAGAAAGTTGTCCACACTATATTGCATCAAACTGCCAAAAAGAATCCTGATGATTATACTCCTGTAAATATAGATGGTGCTCATGCCCAAAGAGTTGGAGATGTACAAGGACAAGAATCAGAGTCTCAGCTCCCAACTAAAATTATTCTTACTGGACAGAAAACAAAAACTTTGCACAAGGAGGAGTTAAACATGAGTAAAACTGAAAGAACTATTCAACAGAATATTACGGAACAGGCTTCTGTAATGCAGAAACGGAAAACAGAGAAGTTAAAACAAGAACAAAAAGGGCAATCCAGGACTGTTTCTCCCAGTACCATTCGTGATGGCCCATCCTCTGCACCTGCTACCCCTACCAAGGCTCCCTATTCACCCACAACTTCTAAGGAGAAGAAGATCCGAATCACAACTAATGATGGACGGCAGTCCATGGTTACTCTTAAGTCTTCAACAACCTTTTTTGAACTTCAGGAAAGTATAGCCAGAGAATTCAACATTCCTCCATATTTACAGTGTATTCGATATGGCTTTCCTCCTAAAGAGTTAATGCCACCACAGGCAGGAATGGAAAAGGAACCAGTTCCTTTACAGCATGGCGACAGAATTACAATAGAAATTCTAAAGAGTAAAGCTGAAGGTGGTCAGTCTACTGTAGCACACTCAGCCCACACTGTGAAACAAGAAGATATTGCTGTTACTGGTAAACTGTCATCTAAGGAACTTCAGGAGCAAGCTGACAAAGAAATGTACTCCTTGTGTCTTTTAGCAACATTAATGGGTAAGATCAATTTAATTCTGATGGTATATCTTAATTGTAAATATAATACACTGAGTTTTCCTGTTGTCTTTGGGGGAAAAAGAAATCTGTAGCCATTTTAAGTTTTTGATTATATGTTTTAGTATTAGGAAAGAATTATTTTTACTATTTTGACAGTAATGGATAGATGTTAATATGATTATTAACTATTAGGAAAATAACTAGAAAGTTAAAGTAGTCCCTCAATAATGGTCAGCAGATTATTTAAGTATATCTTATTCTTGCAATTGCTTTTTTAAAAACAGACCTGTGTTTATTTAAGGCATTTTAAATTTTTTGGTAGGCTCTATTGAGCCTGTGTACCTTATGCCTTTTTCATTTATTTCTAATTTTTATTTTCCTGTATGTCATGTGATTTCAGACTTCCTGTATGATGAATTGCAGTTTCTGGTGTTTATATTCTCACTGCACTCCCACCTAGTAATTTCTTACATTTCATTTTCTTCCTTTCCCAGTTCATCACATTTTTCTTATTCATACACTAGGATTTGTATTTAAATTCACTAGGGTTTGTATTTAAGTAATTTCACTACTCAACAAATCTTTGCCATCAATTGTAATGAACTATTATATGTTAGAATTCATCAGAAACATAAGAAACAGATAGAGGGTAATGGTGTAGAGAAGTATTTCTTTCTAATAATTCAGCATAAATTAAAGAAAAGTATATTATCAACCAAATGGGTAATTTAAAGCTTTAGATTATTTAGGATATTGTCCAATGGTGTACTTTTTTTACAGTATCTATATTTGCTTAGTTTTAGTTTTAGTTTTGAAATAACTGTTAATATGCTTGACTAAGTCTTAAAGTATAAGTAAAATTTAAATGTGTTAGTTACTGGAAGGTAACTAACACATTGCTGAGATTAGGTATTTCGACTAGAAAAGTGATCTGGGTTTTGATTCTATTTTCTGATAGTACTATATGGCAGTGAATTGGGCCTTGACCTACCAAAGTGAATACTACTCCTGGCTTATTTGGGGGAGTCGTAAATAGGAGATCAAAAATCCTTGCACATATTTAAAACTTGGAATTGTTGATTTTAGTTTGGCAGACATAGTAATTTAATTAGGTGGCATGTTAGGAACTGTTCTACGCACTTCCGATTTATTTTTTTTGAGGTGGTCTCTTGCTGTGTCACCAGGGTGGAGTGCAGTGGTGCAATCTCGGCTAACTGCAGTCTTCGCCTCCTGGGTTCAAGCGATTCTCCTGCCTCAGCCTCCTGAGTCGCTGGGACTACAGGTGCCCACAGACGGGGTTTCACCATATTGGCCAGGATGGTCTCAATCTCTTGACTTTGTGATCTGCCCGCCTCTGCCTCCCAAAGTGCTGGGATTACAGGTGTGAGCCGTCGTGCCTGGCCTTTTTAAAAAATTATTTTATTTTAATTAATTAATTTATTTTTTGAGACAGTCTCACTCTGTCACCCAGACTGGAGTGCAGTGGTGTGATCTGGGCTCACTGCAGTCCCTGCCTCATGGGTTTAAGCAATTCTTTTGCTTCAGCCTCACAAGTAGATGGGACTACAGGCTCGTACCATCACATCCGGCTAATTTTTGTATTTGTAATAGAGACTGGGTTTTACCGTGTTGGCTAGGATGGTCTTGATCTCCTGACCTCGTGATCCGCCTGCCTTAGTTTCCCAAAGTGCTGGCATGAGCCACCATGCCTGGCCCACTTTATATATTTCTATCTCTCAAGAGTATTTGTTTCTTAGCGATTGAATGGAATAGAGAAAAGATTATGTGATCTTCAGAGTCAGAAAGATCTAGAATTTGAATTTTGGCTCTATTACTTATTAGTGATTGCAGGCAACTACTTGACTCCCCAGTAGTTCAATTGCCTCCTCTACAACTCTTCTTGTAGTTGTTATATAAGAGGCCG